GTGTAGGCTGTAGGTTTTTTGTTTATTAGAGAAAAAGAGTGTTTCATACTGCATCCATGAATTTAGTAAGAACAGTATTTATAAATGGTGGTATTTAATACTTTAATTGTAAATTCAAATTCTTTTTTAATCAAAATATTCGAAATTACGACCAGAAATACTGAATTGCACACAAAATTTGCTTAGATCTTTAAAACTTAACTGTTTTACTGAATGACTGCCTTTTAACTAAAAGTAAATCTAATAATTCGTAACCTAACCTAACCTATTTTGGCCTTCGCTCTGAGTGATATAGAGGTATACTCCGGAATATACTCCTCAAAGGCGACGCTGTCAATGGCTCACTCCTTAAAAACCGCAAGATACACAGGCGCGCAAATACAAGCTGCCGCTCAGAATACCTGTTAATATGTTTTTGTAATATGTAGTTAATATGTAGTACAGTAATTTTTTATATGCAGTAGGTTATTAGTGGAGAAATTTAGTTTGCTTAAATTTCTAAATAGAGGACAGGTGCAATAAAAAAAATCCCATTTTATAAAACCAACAAGACAATTCTTTATATCGTCGTTACGACAGTCAATACTTAAACTTTTTCATTTCTTTGCTAATTGCTTTGTCAGTCGAGTAGTTGCAAGGACATCTACTGAACTCTCTCTCTCTTTGATGCGGTGCATAAAAACGTGTTTTAAAATATTACAAAATGCTTTTTGGGGGTAGATTACCGTTTCAGTTCAATACAACGACATTACACAATCACACACACACATCAACAGCTTATATAAGTAACCACTACTGACTAAAGACCTCTTATCACACGGAGAAGGTTTGAGCATTAATTAACACGCTTGCTCAATGCGGTTGGCGATTTCAAACTTATAATTATAATGTCCAGGTTTCCTTACAATGTTTTCCTTCAGCATTTGTCAGTGGAGTCTAAATAACTCTGAAAAAGTCACATTGGTACTTGCTTAGTAGGTTTCGAACCCGCACCCTAATGCATTAGAAGCGGGCATCTTATACCTCCGAGCCACCACGACGTATTTAGATTGGCAATGTTATTTAAAGGTTCTTCTTAACTCAACCGAAGAAACATAATATTCTACTTTCCAGTTAGTAAGAAAATCATAGAAAAACTCCTTGAATTCCAGTTTTATTCACCTCAAAGTCACAGAAGACGTATATGAAAAGCTATTATACCGTAAAGCGAAAACATCGCTATAAACGTCACAAGATGCGCTCACTCATCAGCGATGAAAGCGATACATTGTACAGTCAACGTCAAAATAAAGTGTTGATTTAGTCAAAGAACTGATTGTAGTCTGCTTTGTTTTGCTACACATTATGGCATTGTTGAGTAAAAGAAGTCTCTATCTGTGATAATCAGCTCCATACTAGGTTTGAATCTTTTGTAGATAATTATGTATTTTGTAGATGCCAGGGTCGGGCAAAGTATTACTGGGCTTTTTCAAAAAAACCTTAGTAGTAGCACGGAGTCTGGAATTGTGCCCGGTATATTGCAATAGGTCCACCCCCATTACATGGGACTCATAAATAGTGAAAAGTGGGTGTTACATTGTACAGTGGCATTAAGTGCCGTAATGTACACCTCTGCCTACCCTTTCGGAGATAAAAGGCGTGATGTTATATTGTAGACAATTACATGAATCATAAAAGCCATCAGACCACCACAGATGGGACTTAGTAGGGCTGATACCTGATACGGAGCCGCAGAGGACTTAATGAGTTGCCGGGGCTCCGGCTCGATGTGCAGGAGTAGGAACAGGGTGGTTTTTAGGCAGTAAGAGTCTGACACTACCTCTCGCCTCACTCAAGGCGGGAGAAGTCATAGGATGATTTCCCCTTCAAAAAAAAAGATCTATGTTAGTTTTATACCAAACTTGCTACACACAAAAACATGGATCATATACATTCTTTACTTTAAGTCCTAATTGCGACAAATTTCAGGTCTCGCACATAACCCAAAAAAAAAAAATTACGACAATATTTCATTTTAACAGCGACTGTACAGAGAACGAGCCATTTCCCCTTAAAGCGCTGTAGCGCAAAGTACCTCTTGCTGTAAGCGCTAGATTGTCTCAGGGACTCGGGTCTTTGTGAGGCAATCGGATGCTCAGTGGAGACTAGACACTACCAACTTTGTGACGTTTTGTTTTTTTTTGTGGTTAGCTTTTATTTATCATACGAAACTGTCACCACTATTGTGACTAAAAAGCTTTTACGAAGTGAAGGTGAAGGCATACATCGTGAGGAAACCTACACTTGTAATTTCAATTTAGAAGTTAAATATATTAGTCCGTCTTCAGCAATCGTGGTGATTAATGCTCAATTCTTCTGCATATGTTAAAAGTCAGCATTTATTTCAACAAGACCATATACAGGCTCTTTTGAAACGCTAAAAAATAATAATCCGTCAATGAAGCTAGGTTAAAAAGTACTTTGACACTTTTGTCACGGAAACAGTATACGTAGTAGCTCATTTACCTTGTTAGCCAATCAAAAATAGCCATAATTATAATCAACTAAAGATCTAAACTATGTATTTGACTTGGCGAGGTAACCACACAAGCGCATTGCGTTTCGTACGACTACACCATAACATAACATAAAATCACGCCTTTTATCCCCGAAGGGGTAGGCAGAGGTGCACATTATGGCACTTAATGCCACTGTACAATATAACACCCTCTTTTCACTAATATGTTATGAGTCCCATGTAATAAGGGGTGAGCCTATTGCCATACATGCCGGGCACATTTCCAGACTACGTGCTACTACTGAGATTTTTAAAAACCCAGAGACCTCTTGTCCGATAGTCGCACTTGCGACCACTCCGCCAACGAGGCAGTCTACTACTACACCATACCAGACGTAAAACAATAAAAGTCAGTCGGTATTCCATGCGTAACCCGCGAACCTAACATTTCTATAGTTTCTGGCAAGTTATCATTGTATGGCCATTAAATAAGCGGTTATTTTGAAATCAATACGTTATTAAAGATCAATCTAGCTATGCCATTATTATTATGGTGATAGCAAAGCAGAATATGTATATTTATGACCACCCTTAGTCCTCCCGCGGGTATACTACCTAAGAGCCGACAAAGTGACTATATGTTTGACAGAAGCCTGGTAGCAGCGCTCTTTAATAAACCTGAGACCTTAGTATGAGCTTTTTTACGTTTAAATCAAATCGGGACCGCGTTCGACGCTATGATTGGCTGGATCCAATGAACCAACCATTCAGGGCTTCCAACGCGGTCTCAAGCTAAGCATGGGTATTATAAAAAACCTGTACTATATATAAACATGTAACGGATGCATTATAGGTCAGCAGTGGAGTCACTGGCAATAGCCAGTAAAATAAATAAATAAATAAATAAATATATTTATTTATTTATTTATTTAAGACTTCATGCACACACTAATGTACAAGGTGGGCTTAATGCCTAGGGCATTCTCCTCCAGCCAGACCTTTGGGTGATGCAGAGACAAAAACAATGGTCGATGCAAGAAGCAAGCGTATTTAGGAATCAACAGAAATACATAAAAAAAGGATAGTATAGACTTACATAAAATAAATCCCTATATAAACTTACATGTATATGTCATAACAATAAACTTACACAAATATATTACATGTACTACTTTGACGTAACATAATTATACATAGTATATTGATAGTTACGATTCTGCCAACCTCCTCAAAAGTAGCTCCCGCACCTTCCGCTTGAATGACAAACGACTGGGCACCATCCTGATATCGGGAGGGAGCGCATTCCACAGAAGAATAGACTGAACAAAAAAGGAGGAATGAAGAAATTTTGTACGATGTGTTGGACATTGGAGGAGGCGATTATTAGAAGAGCGAAGATATTTGCTGTGGTTAGCGCATGTATATTGGAAGTGTAAGGACAGATAATGAGGCGAATGAGGCGAGTCAAGAACAGAGAAAAGAGTGGTTAGCGCCCTTAGTTCCCTGCGCTGTCGTATTTGATATATTGGCTATTGATAAAGACAATGATTTGAAACAACAAATATTATATGTATGAAGTGAAAAAAGGGTAGTAGTGGCTCCGTTTTTTTGCTCCCACTTATACACAGTCTTCCCCCCCGGAAAGAAGGGGTAGTGACAAATAAATAAATGTATTCCATCAACGCATAACGTGTAGGTACTTTCCCATTAACACATTACCCGCTCTCGCCTCCGCCTATAATCCCGCTGACTCTAAGCCCCCAAATAAAAAGGGTTGGTGCCAGTTCGAAACACAAGACGGGATATATTGAAATAGCTAGCATTGCAATATGGAGCCACTCTCTAACACTCGCCTTTGTGTAAACGCCACGATTTCATGACACCGTGTCTATGGTGTCAAAACTATTCTTGATACTTGAGTTTATGTATTATTAAATGCAATTTCTGTCTGTCTGTATTAATATTAATATGACGTAGAGGTGTATATATAAATATTGCTTTGTATGTAGGCAGTTTCAAATTAAAAATCTATGTATGGTTTACTTGTAAAACTGTTCGACTAGTTTCGAGCCACGCCAGAGCCTATAAGCGTGAACAATAGTTTAGTAACCTCGTCGAACAGTTACGAGAGTAACTTGTACCACCGAGTTATTTAGATATGTCTCACGATAGTAATTACATACATACATAACTTCACGCCTGTCTGCCATGGGGGTAGACAGATAGTATGGAACGCCAATTACTACGATTCCTACATTCGCTTCATCAACAGTCATCAATATTTTCATGCGTGCTCGTCGGTTAACGGTACTTTTAATTTGGCTCTTCTTTAATATATCGCCAATCTGGTCAGTACCTATACCATATGGCCGTCTAGGGCGCCCTCTACCGACGGCCCCGTTCATATCTGCTCTGTATACTTCTTTCGTGACTCTACTAAAGTAATTGTGACTTGTGTATTGAATATTATGTTATATTAACAATTTTCTCCTATTTGTTTCAGCCTGAAAGATTGAACGTGTTCAAAAATGACCAGGACAGTTGGGATTACACACGTAAGTTGTATTATATAAATTATTCACTAACTTATAGTTACAGTACCTACAATTAGGCGATGTCTTAAAAGAATAGTAATACTCTATCATCAGTTTTATTGTAAATACTAAACTTAGGGATAGTATTCAGGAGATGATCACGTGTTTACGTTCTTCGGGACATCGCCTAAGCATCAAAAGTAAGCAATCAAGTTTGTCTTCATCATAAAATTATAAAAGCTTACTTTTGGTACTGGCTGTATTGTTTTTGTCAATTATTTCCTTTGCTACTTCATAATTATATTTACTACGAAATTGCAAGAGGATTGATAATATTTAATATACTTCTAAGACACAAGACTAACGCATGAGTTTTGCTTTAAAAATATTTATATTATAGCTTTTGTGAGACATACTAAAACAATTATTATGTTTTCGGCTTACTCTGTAACTGTTTCAAGCCATGCTAGGGGCTCATATTCATGAGCAGGAATCCGCGCTGTCGCCCTGCTACTCTGTAACTAGTCGAGTCTAATCGAGACCAGCACAAATAATTAAGTGAGTAAGCCGAAAAACCTAATTATTAATTTTAAAATATTATTTATTTTTGATGTGTTTTAATCCTTTCACGAAATCTCTTGACTTCACAAGACTTCCAGCCAAAATACTACAATAGACATTATATTTTCAACGCCCCATTACATTCATACATTTTTGAGCAGATCTTTTGCCAAAAGTTCAACACATTAGCGTCTGATATGAAGTAGTTTTGTAAAAAAATGTGATCGCATTGCAGACATCGAATTACAAAAAGATACATAAATTGTAGCTTTATAATATATCACAGTTAATGATAAAGGGTCCCGGTGTGGTTCAAAATTAGTCGAACATTTTCGAATATATGATTAAAGTAGACAAATGTTTTAGACAACGATTGATTTTTGGTGAACAGATTTATGTAAAAAATGCCTGAATTGACATAAATCTGTGCCGTTTTTTGTTATTTAATTTACCAAATCATAGCCCTACGTTAGTTATAAGCACATTAAGCATAAACGTTGTAAAATAATTACTCAACTGTAAAATGTATTCCTCCATTTAATCGAGAATTTTATATCATTTTAATATTAAAAGAAACCAACTTAAAATTCTCACAAAGGGCACGTTAGCACGTCTAGAAGACGCCTTTTCATATGCAAAAGAACCGGATTTATCCGGTTAGCGCCAGCTCTGGGTAACAACAAGTAACGGACTCGAATGCCAGGACGCCATTTTAGAATTTAAAACGTTTGAATTTCATATTTTTCTTTTTTCGAACAATAGAAAGCAAGGGTTGTTGTTGTATTTTTTTCATTTCATTTATTCAATAAACAATTAACGATGTATCTGAATGTCTTTATAATCATACATTGCAATATAAATCCCTGCAGCATGGATCAGTCACATTACTCAAAAAAAAAAACTAGGTAGTTTGACTTTTTAATCATTCCATATCATATTTTCACAAGTTTTTTTTATTAAACTTAAAGGCTTTTGTAGCCCAAAATATTCGTATTGCGTTTCCGATATCTTCTGTTGTAGAATTGTAGCACAAAATTTTGAATTGTTTCCGATCTTTGGCAATAGTTTCACTCCTTATTAAAATGAAAATCTAGTTCAGTATCATTATTTTGCAAATTGACAATAGCTGCTGACATAATTTATTTTATGAATGATAAAATATAATAATATAATAAAAATAATAAGTCATTTATTTCTGAGTGTATGGTATATACAAGGTCTTAATTTTAGAATGAATCACATGCACTACCGTTGTCGGTGTAGAAATATTAAAAGATAAGAATATAGAATGCTCAATCAGAACATCGCATCATCTATGAGTTATGAGTTCGATTCCTCGTTAATGCAAGACCATTAATATACGGACTATCGTAAATCAAACGCTAGTGAGAATACTAAGTAGTGATCAATATTGTCTGTACTTCATTAATAATAAGCTGTCGATGGAAATAATGCATTTTGAATGTGATTCTGATGCTGAAGTGCATTAATGTGACATCCACTTTTAATTTTTTTTTTAAATACAAGTTATAGTTTTTAAACCGTGACATTTCTCGGGGGCATGTCACAGAAGTCATAAAGGTTCAATGTAAGAGAAAGTTTCGGGCCAATAGTTAAAAATACGGCTATAATAAATCGTTTAAGTTCGACAATATTTCAGAATAAGCGACAGCAATGTTTCTTATTGGAGTTTTATGGAATTAGCCGCGTTATAAAACTAGTTACAGGACGGCGGCGTGTAGTTCGCACTTACAGATTTCCGTAATTTACAGAAAAATGAAAATTACCTACAATAAATATTTACCAACAATTTGTTTATTCATTCGGACTCAAAATCAATAGCCTAGTTACCTCCTAGAGAATGACGCGCCATTAAAACAACACCATGTATGTTGATGAAATTGTCTTATACTCTCTTGGAGTCGCGGAGAACCTAACGGGTAACCGGGGCTCCGACGCGACGTGCAGGAGAAGGAACGGGGTGGTTTTTAGTCAGTAAGAGTCTGACACTCCCTCCCGCCTTACCCAGGCGGGAGCAGTCATTTGATAATTTTCCCCCCTTAAAAAAAATACTCTCTTAGAGTACTGATTAAATACTCTTAAAATCATGCATTCAATTAGGCCAAGAAGGCACCTTTGGACATCAGTTAAGATATAAAGTGTCAGGCTGTTGGTCACTCCTCCAATATTACTTCACCTGACCTGCGAATCCAGTTCGAGACCCCTAGCTTGATATCACACTTGCAATTCCTCGACCAATGAGGCAGTTTAACACAAACCCTCTCCGTATTCTGAAGTCGGTTAAAAATGGCTTATAAACCACATAATTTTAACTCCAGCACCTATTTAAATAGAACAAGGCAACTATAAAGTGTAACAGTAAATTTCCTTTTATAAGAAGAGCAGCGTGTTCTTAGGAAATTGCTATCTGCATGTCGTTTAGTGAAAGTCGCCCGCAGCGACCTCTGGTGCACGACTTTGAACTAATTGTAAGTGAAACAGAAGTACCACTGCTCATGAAATTTTGTTTACCAACATCATCGTCATCATTTCAGTCACAGACGTTACCTGCTGAACATAGGTCTCCCCAGTGAAAATGGACAAAATCGTAATATACATAATACAACCAAACCTACCTCAAGAATCACACTTATCTATTGGTGAAAGCGGGCCTGCGGACGGCAAGCATGGGTGGCTCCCCGTCCGACCAGAAATAGACCCGAGCGTACGGCGCGTCGCGTTCCGCGCGCGCCTCAAAGAGCCATCAGACCACCACAGATGGGGCCCAATAGGGCCGATGCCAATTCGGAGTCGCGGAGAACCTAACGGGTAACCGGGGCTCCGGCTCGACGTGCAGGAGAAGGAACGGGGTGGTTTTTAGTCAGTAAGAGTCTGACACTCTCTCCCGCCTCACCCAGGCGGGAGCAGTCACTCGATGATTTTCCCACCTTAAAAAAAAAAATCTATTGGTGAAAATCGTACGATAATCAGCTCGGTAGCTTTTGAGTTTTGTGACAGATATGAGAGTGCACGTCTTTTAGCTTCTCTTAGCTTTGGATCTGAGAATTTGGTGGCAAAAGAAAGCACGTTAAAGCGTAGCCCACGGTTATCTTTCGCGTAAAAATAAAATAAATGTATTACAAATGTTACTTATTTTTTTATCCTGATGATACGAGCAAAGCCGCTGGTAGAAGCTAGTATTTAATGATCATTTTATTGAGTTAGTGAGTTAGTTTTCTGTTCATGTATCTGTCTTGTAGACACATTATCTTAAGAAACGTGCGGATTGGATGTTCAGAGTTAAGATGCTAAAATAGTGAAAGGATGGTGGTGGATTATTTAAATTAGCGGTTTTAGTTCATAGTTTAGCTACGTAAGTTAAACTTTAAGATGTTGAAATAGGGTTAAGCAGGCTGCTAAAAATATGTTTTTGTTGAGACGATCTACATGGCTTAGTCAGCGTGTCGGACAAAAGTATTATTAGGCTACTATGATTTTTTTCTAAGTAATATCAAAGTCAAAACATATATTTAAATTAATCCTTCGTCAGGCACTTTTGAAATGTCAAATTGAATTGTTAGTTAAGCTAGGTGTTCGCTCCAAAGTGTAGTTTCGAAAGGAGAAGGACGAGCGAGAAACTCCATCTTTTAGAGGTATATGTCGTCTTATATCTCTTCTATGGAGTCTTTAAGTAAATTCGCTTAGTTATGTGCAACTGAACTGGTATCAATACGTCTGATACAATGAGGTATGTGTGTGTCAATTCTAGTCCGGATTCATTCAATATTATCACGTACTTCTTTGAGGAATAACAACCATAATCTTAGTTAGGACTTAGGTCTTAAAAACACTGAACCGAAGATAATTTACCTTCTCATTTAGCGAAGAGAACTTACAAAGAACTCTTGGAAAACAAGTTAATTAATCATTTTGCTCTTAATGCACGAAATCTTTGAAAAATAATTCTCTCCCTTGCTATTAATCATTGCTCTCGAAACTTAATAGCTTCGAATGGCAGTAATGGTGAAAGTGCTGTGACTGCAAAAATTAAAATTGCAAAAGATGTAATTAAAGATGTCTGCCTTTTTTAATATCTTATTCGCCTCGTTGGACAACTATGTCTAATTGAATCGATTGTTGGAGCCCGCCATAGGATTAACTTATTTTATTTTTAAACAGTCACAACGTCAGAAAACCAATTACTATTGTAATTACTGACATATTTACAAAACAGCTATTAAAAATTTAACAGTATGTTTATTTCAATATTGTTATTCCATTTGCAAATTATGTTAACAAAATATGTGTATGTATGATGAAACATATAATTCTGCCTATTTACACAAATCTTAATTAGTTTTTTAATTAGTCACAGGCCTCCATCATAGGTAAAATACCGACAGATCTAAGCGACGTAAACAGTCACTGATGTTTTGTTATTTTTTGTGGGGTCAGTCAGT